CAGAAGTTTTTACTTCGTATTACACAGGGTGTAGTTTATTTGTTTAAAATACTTCATGTCAACAAATGTTCTCCAGATAACATTCATGCTCTTAGTGAAAACAAATGTACTCAACTTGTTTTTCTGCTTTCAACTTTGTAAAATCCAGGTGAAGCTCATTACAAATTGAGTAAATTATATGGAAGTTATACAGGGTGTAACGTAAGTGCGTTTCGAAGATACAAGGTGTTGAAATTGAATTTTATTGTTCGTTTTTTTAAAATAACTTTTGCAAAAAATAAGTTACTCGCACGAAATTTGATACCCGGGGGTTTTTTAATGTAGGAAATCATAATTTCATATTAATTTTCATGTTATATTTACAGAGCGCTGCGTAGACTGTCATTATTTATTTCAAATTGACCTAACTTTTTTGACAGTAACTTTTTGGTACTTTTCATGAAATAACCTAATTCTCACACCTTTTCTTAGTAAGGAAGTGAAGAAGTTGAGGAAGTGTACCTTTTGAATTTGAAAATGGTGTGGAAATTAGGTTTTTTTCTTAAAAAGTACCAAAAGTTTACTGTCAAAAGAGTTAGGCCAATTTGAAATGAATAATGCCAGCGTACGCAGTGCCCTTCAGATGTTACATATGAATTAATACGAAATTATGATTTTCCACGTTGAAAAACACCGGGTACCAAATTTCCTACAAATAGCTTATGTTTTGCAAAAGTTATTTTTGAAAAACGAACAGAAAATTCAATTTCAACACCCTGTATCTCCGAAACGAAGCATTTCCGGACACAAGTTTATATAGACTTTTCTTTTTGAAATTGTCTCAGCAATACGTCACTTGAATATTTTAAGGTTACACCCTGTATATTAGGAATTATAGCTATTATTAAGTAGTTGGTACTGTAAGTACCAAAGCATTCTACAAAGCATTAAACCAAAGCTATTTTGAGCTGTAAACTCAAATGCTGTAATTTCACCCTTATTTTGAAATGTCCTGTCAACTATCTTCCAATTTTTAGTTAATCAACTACATTACTGATTCCAGGTTTAACCTGCTGTTTGGTTTTTTATTAGATCTCCCCAACACCTCAGAAAGTTACTAAGAGTGTCCCAAAATAAGTTGAATTGATTTAGTCAAACGAGTCAAACGAGTGGAAATTCAAATGTTGAAAATTCAAATATTCTTTCCTGGAGAAACTCCTGATGCACCTGCATTTGATAAACCAATAAATATAGTCTGTATCAGTCTCTGATCAGTGAAGTTAGGAAAGGTTAATGCGCAAACTGAGATGAGATTTTGATGCGCATTCAAAACCAAACAGAAGATAGCTATTGGTCAAACAAACTGCTGTCAGTAGTACATTGACGAAATATGACTCAAGTGGGCGGAGTCTTTCAACACGGAACGATTTTACGTTTCTGCGCTGACTCATCTCAGTTGTCGAGTACTATACATAATTGTATTTCTTACATAAATACGACTCTCTTCGTCTCTAGGTCGTGATGCTGGGCTCTCTTCGTCTCTCGGTCGTGATACTGGGCGCTGTTGCATACAAAAACAGTATCCGTGCAAACACCTGTCAATCTCTCAAGCACACTATCAATCACACCCTATCAAGAGGCTCAGTACTTGCACAGATGGAACAGCGACTTATTAATGTAGTGTGCGTTTTCTGCCGATGTTATGTATCTCGTTATGTATCTATATGATTTAGGTTGCGCCCGTAAGAAATGTTTTTCTGGGGTTGTGTCTAGGTGGAGTCTTTGCCTTCGAATTTATATTGGGAGTCAAGATGAAAAAAAGGAAGTGAAGATCGTTTTTGCCACCACTTTGATGAAAATGTTGTGACCTGAAATCGTCCACCAGTGAGGATGACAGTGTTCCATGTAAGTGAAATTTTACCTCTTTCATTTACTCTATTGTGTAGCAATTCTGAGAATGATATCAGATTTGATACTATAATGAATGTTTGGAATACAAACCAAATATTAAAAGTATTTTTTGTATATTTCAGTGTTCATAATAAAGTATTTTTTTTTGAAAACATGTGTTATTCAAAGTTTATATGAAAGTAGCTGTTTATAGAAGGCTTTTTTCCAGTTTTTGTCTGAAAGTTACTTCTTTGCAAGATCTACACATCTTTATATGAAGTTAACTTTTCAAAATTGATTGCTCCCTTCTTTTTTTTTGGTTCCCACAGTCTTTTGTATCTAGATGGAGAAATAGAAGGCGAAAAACCTTTCTTTTCCATAAAGTTTAATTTTAGTGGTCAGTGGTTCAAATCTAGTTGAGAAATCGTTTTCATCTTGGCAAACTCAGATGTTCCTGGCTACTTCTTCCCATGATGAAATTATTGTTTCCAGAAATGTTTGTCCCATTATCGTTTTCAAACAGGCGCTTTTTACCTATAACTTTGAAGTCACTTTTGCATTTGCTGTGAAAATGATTGAAATGCATTGAAAGTGAATCCGAGTCTTGATTTTGGTGTTCTGAAAACATTCCTGTACAGGGTGTTTTTGAATTACAAGAAAATTCAGGCGCTAATGTAATTATTTTTGAAGAAAACTTGGTAGTTTCCATTAATTATCAAATTTTCTTCATTTCCTAAACATCCTTGCAATTCTCATAGAAAACACCCTGTAGGTAATCTAGTTACCTGGGAAAACAGGGTTGACTGTGTAGAAAATGGATCTATAGTTAGTTTTGATTATGCTGTCGTTGTGTGCAAAACTTGGTTCTACATTAATAAGGGCTAGTTTCACCTGCGTCATATAAAATATAAGGTCCCAATCGGGACATATAAGAATTTGTACTTTTTGAATGCTATCCGATGTTTGGGAACGACGGAGGGCCCGAGATCTATACAGGGTATTGAGGAAAGGTCCCGCCAAACTTCCACGAGGAACGTTTTTAGAATTTTTTCGTCTCGACGACTTCGAATTACAATTTATCACTCCGGAATCCCTTGTTTTGACAGTTTCGTCGAAACGCTTTAGCAAAAATATATACTTTGGAAGGTTGCGAACAGTTTGACGACATTTCGGAAACACTCTGTATTAGTAGTTGGCCCCCCGTTCGCACCGATCTCATTCTAACTCACTTTGGAATGTACAGGGCGCGCCAAACAGATCAAACTTTTTCGGATCACTCGATTTTCGGTGATGCGCTTGGTTAAATATTCCGAAATTTGCTTTCTAAGAGAGCTAAAGGCGACTTAATTTTAATAATTCGGTTTCAGTTTTAATGAGATTTCTCAGGCTGAGTTGTACAGAGGAGGCTTAATAAGTTTTTCGAATGATCAACGCAAATGATCAAACATAAGTAATTGTTTGTCGATTTTCCTTTGCATGGAATACTAACTATTTGGACCAGATTATTGAAGAATATATTGATGAGATCTTTACAGAGCTTTAGATTGTCCTTGACGTTCGAAATTTGGGGATAGGAAAAAGAAAAGAAGAAATGCAAATGCGTAACGACTAAAAGAAGAATAGAACTCAACGAATATAAACAAAAATGAATCAGGTGAATGCTGCAAAACAAAATAAAAATTGGATATAAATCTTAATGAGAGAAATGGATGAAAACACTGAGTTCAGCGCTTGGCTATTTGGATACCTGAGAACTCAGCAAATCGATTCAAATTGAGGACTTGAGTTAACAACACAACATGAGATAAATCAAACTAGCAGGTGGATGGTATTGAATTGAACTTATCGCTCATGGGAAAGAAAAAAAGTCTACGACTAGCTCTAATGAAGCTCTCTCAAATGGAGCAAGGAAGAGAGCAACGAAAAAATCAAATTATAAATACAAAACGCAAGGAAGGAAATAATGAATTTAGATTCATTGAAGCACAAAGACCAAGATAGCTTAGAAACATAGAGCCTATAAAGTCTGGTTTAAAATGAAGAACAGAAATATAAAGATTGAGAGGAAAATCTTGAGGAAGTTAGAAAGGCCAAGATATTAGGGAGAACAGTGGCTGGAGTTATGAAAGATTTGGAAAGGATGGGGGAAAATTGTAATGAGGGTCAAGTTACTACAGCTTTAATAAAGGATACAAGAAAAATGCGGATAGATTCACCGTGATTAACGAATCAAAAGAGCTCCAAGAGAGAGGCAAATATTTCTCCAGGAATGACAAGTCCCGATGAAGATGTCTTTACAAAATATATAAATAATTTGCCTATTTTCACAGTTTTAAATCTCTCATTCATTGTGTATCTCTAACGATTTTTTGATACTGTTTCCACTTTCTCAACTATTGTAGAATTTTTGAGATTTCAGACACCAAGTTCCCTTTGATTTTTCTCATACATCAGGAACCTATTCAGTTCTATTCGGAGCAGCAAATTTTCTCAATATTTTCCCAGTTCAATTCATGAACTTTTTGTTTGAAGATGAAAATACAACACTGTGGGACTCCTCTGTATAACTCGGTACGCACGTTGAAGCAAATTTTCCACGAAAAATTGTCATATTTCACATTCGATCCATTTGGTACCCCCTTACACATTTGTTCATAATACAATAACTATATAGGTAATTCTGCTCCATTGCCGGAGCTGATTTTTTTCTCTCGTAGGAGCATAGATTGGGCTCGCGAACGCTTATTCTTGCAAACTTTTTGTTAGAACCTCGTTTGTTGTCTTGGACAACCCGTAACCGACTTTTTTTGTTTATTTTTATGTTATTTTCGGCGCGTACGCCACTGGAAGGAAAGAAGCGGACCTTCGATGTTTCGGGATCGGCCTAGGATTGATCTATCGAAGCAGGCAGCGATTTTTGCCAGATTCTGGATTGCTTTTCATCATGTTTTAACTTTGATATACTGAGCGTTCTGATTTTTGCAGTACAAAATCGGTCTTGAAGACTTTTTTCAAATGCAGTTCGAATTTTTTTTATCAAATCTCAATATTCTCGATTTTTGGTCAATCCGAAAACGTATTTCCTTTTTTTTACTCTGATTATCGAACAAATAACTGATATGAGTTTATTGTGTTTTTTTTGACTTTGTAGAAACGAATTGGCAAAAGGGACATAAGCTTTTTGAGGTGAATTGGAAAATAATGCATATAAGTAGATCTTAAAGAAGAAAGAGAGAGGGAACCAAACGTTTTGCTTTTCATGAATCCAGGAGAGTAAAAAGTAGTTGTTATTCAGATGAAAAATCTCCAAGAATATCTGCTTCTGGATATAATCCAATCATATCTGTGCCTTTTCGTAACTACCTGTAAATTTCTGAAGCATTCTGCTCCTTACAGAAAATAAAATGTTACTTCTTCAGATGACATGCTAGATAGCAATATTGAAATCGGATGAATATCCAAAAGAGTTTTCGAAGAAAAAATTCAAATTGTTACATAATACAATTGTATACATAATCGTAGCAACTTCCGAAATCTTTAAAAATATGCAGGTACAGTGATGTAATATTCAAGAGTAATGTTTGGAATATATGGAATAACAACGAAAATAGTACTCAGGCTTTCAAAAATCAACAGTAAAATAAATATCAATCTCTTAAAAATCGATCCTGGATATTCTCATTCGGAAGAGTGAATTTTTGCCTGTGTTATGTTGATGATCATTGGCCTGAAATATAGCTAATTTTTGGATTTTTACGAAACAAATATTTCATTACAGATTATTTTTGGTCAAGCAGCAGTATACTTCACTAAAAATGTGAATAAATGTGATACATTTTATAATAAAGAAAATACAACTGAGATTATGGTACAATCAATATACTGAGTACTTTAAAATACCATCATCAACGTATTCAGAATCTAAAACCTGTCGTTTTTTCCATTCGAACACTTTGTTTTATAATTTACTTTTTTCAAATGTATATCAACACATCAAGTTATTATTACATTTTTCTCAATACTTAATTATTCATAACTCGAAGCTATTAATTGTCTTCATTGTATTTCAAATGTACTTCAACACATCCACTTACGTTTTACTCAATACTTTATTATTCATAACTCGGAATTATTAATTGTATTCATTGTATTTTAAATGTATTTCAACACATCAATTCATTAACACATTTTTCTCAATACTTCATTATTCAGAACTCGAAACTATTGATTGTATTTTATTTTTGTATTTTCACTTTTGTATTGATATATGTTTTACTGAAGTGAAAATGAAACAAAAAATAATAAATGAGAGATCAAATTTCATAGAGATATGTACCAGAACATTTATTATGATTTGAGTTAATGTATTTGCTGTTATAATAGTTTTGGATGAATATATTGAATAATATTACAAATATAGCTCTAATTTCATTTGAGAATTCAGTAAAGATTATTCAGTGGATCATTTTTAGACAGCACCCCATTACATTCATAATTAAATGGGTATCATTATTATTTCCTTCGAATTCTCGGATTTCCTTTTGGCAGATGGTAGATATCTCATGACATCAGTGACTCATTACATTACGCTGGAATGAGAAAAACCGTTTCTACATTTTGGCTGAGAATTTTGATGGTATTTCAAAGTATTTGAATGTGTTTGGGCTGAATGTATTTAAGAAAAAAATCCTCGATTATTGAACGTGTACTTTGATGATATTTTAAAGTATTCGAATGTATTTTTATTGTACTGCTGTAGTGTTTATGAGCTAACCTCACATTTTGAGTTGGAAATGTTATAGTAGTTTTGATGTTTGTGAAGTTTCGGTTCCTCATCATTTTCCAATAGATTTTCCGACCAATTTTTTCAAATTTTTGCTGTCTGTAATACAAATGAAATTTATGCAGTAGTTTGAAAACGTTAGCATTTGATTAACCTCAAATCAAAAGTCCTTATTGCGTCTGCTAACTTCGGGATGGGCAAAAGGTCCTTTTTCGATCCTTGTCAGTGGCGTACGACACAAAACTCAAAAGGGGAGTTTTTTAGTTAACTTACTAGCGAAGAGTGAGAGTGTTAATGAAAAAAGTGATGAGAGAATTGAGAGAATATGAACGAACTTAAACGGAAGAAACAATTGCGCCGCGGCCCTGGGCTCAATAATACAATATTATCAATAATTATCTGATTCAGGTTTAAAATATGTACAATATACATATAAATAATAATTTATAAATGTGAATACAATGATAATCTGTATAGTACAGTCATTATGTGATTTAGAATTTTTCCGGAAACGTACAAGAAAGACGACTTTTGGTGACATGGTCGATAATTGGATTAATTGTCAATTTACGTTACGAGGAAATTATAAATAATGTTATTGGAACACAGTACTTTACAGAAATATATAAAAATATTTATTCCACTCGGATTTTTCATTTTAGTTGTGATAGAGTGGCAAAATTGGAGTTTTGCAGATCAATGGATTTTCAATTCATTACCTACATAAGCTTACAGTTCATGAAGAAAACAACATTTAAAACTGTCGAAATTCAATAAAATTCAAGGCTACTGAATCAAAATGTCCTGCGAAGACAATGATTATTGTGTGGTTTTCACTCTAGGAATTAATTCAAGTTTATTCCCATTTCGATATAGTAGAATTTCAAAACATTAATCTTTGAGATCTCTCAAACATAGTGGCGTAAACAGAAATTTATAAATTTTTAAAGACTTTCAGTTGTAGGCGAATATCACAAACGAACAATGATAAAATTACAACACACAAAAGAAACAACTTATTTACTCGCGCTAAAACACATACCTTTATACAGAATCCAATATATCTAAGAGAGATAGCTATACAAACGTGATTTGAATTCCAAATTCGACTATTGATGGTATCACAGAATACCTTACAGAAGATACCCATTTTGAGATGTCAAATTTCTGTGAACTATATTCTGTGTTCGAGGTGTTCAGTGCCATTTTTAGCGGTAAATTAAAATCATTTACAATTTTTCAGCTTTTATTTGATCTATTTCATGTGATAGCAGTCAAGAAATCATCAAGGTAGGTTGTTGGGCCAACATTTTGACCACACTAGCTTTAGTTTACCATGTTCACTAACAACTGGACGAAATTCCAAGGTTGACAGTAATCACCTCAAAATTGTCGAATTTTCATTGTTCCTGTTCTGTGCTGAGTATCTCCTCTGTGATATATTCTGTGGTACGTATCAATGTCGTTCGATGTTAAAGTGTTGTTCTTGTACTCTTATTTTTTTTCTAGTGTGGAAAAATGTTGTTAATATAGACGTTTTACGCCAGAGGTTTCAATTGTAACCTTCAAGTATACCGTATTATAAATTTTAACCTCACATTGTGAATGGCTCTGTCTAATATTCCACATTCCGGAATATTCACTTTGCCAGATATCCGAATTGAAAAGTGGGTTATGAAATGTAACTTGCCTGTTACCGTGATTGTAAATTTGAACCTCAAATTGTGAGTGGCTCTGTCTAATATTCCGCATACCGGAATATTTAAGTTGCTGGATATCCGAGTTGAAAAGTGATATAAAATATAACGTATTTATAGAGTGATTAGTACGGTGCTGGCCCAAAATAATATCGTGGGGTCACTTTTCAGTGAATTTCATAAACGAAAGTAATTTTTTATCAAAAGGTAGGGTTAGATAGATGAATGGTTTAATTTAGACTTGACTTTCGAAGGGAAGAAAAGTATTGAGTGGAGCATATTTTTTCGCGGTGTATCATTTCTGTAAAGTGCTGTAGACAAAAAGAACTTCAGTTTGAGTGCCTCAATTTCCTCTACCGAAAATTCACCCACGCCCTTCAAATTTTGAAGTAGTCAACAAAATAACCATACGCCACCAATTTCGTGATTCTCGTACGTTTCGTACAACCGAACGCGACCGTCATCGACATTGTAGTCACATAATGGCTGGACTAGAAGAAGACAGACTGTTTTCGTTGACTAGGGCGGACACGTCCTCGAAGAGGGGGTTGAGGGCCACGGGGAAGAGAGGGGGCTATACTGGCTTGGAACGCGTCCGCGTCCTTTCCGTCCGATCATCCTTCGTCTTTCTTCCTTCGTCTACCTACAGGACGTCCATTTCGGAGAGCGTGAGACGGCTGGTGGACATAACAACGCCGCTGTCGCTGGACGCCGACTGGACGCTCGAATGGTCGTCGGTGTCGCTTTGGGTGCTCGTGTAGCCGATGACGTCCACTTCGTCTGAAACAAGGGAAACGGACTAGTTAAATCTTGGATACTTTTTGATGTTGACGTCATAATATTTTTAGTGACAATCAATTTGGATTTCAGAACAAAACCACACATGATGTAGTCGTTTCTGTATGATGTGTACTGAAGATGCTGCTTGTGTTTGCGTTGATTACAAAATACTTATATGTATGCTTGATATTCATGGTTGTAGAGTCATATCATAATGATCGCAGTCTAATTATATTAACAAAATAGCTGAAAGTTCAAAGAGTATCGGAATACCACAAGGATCGCCTCTGGGTACAGTTTAATTTTCATTATATATTAACGACTTCTTGCTGACAATAACATGATATTGTGGTCTAGTAAAAGGGTGGTTTCCCCAGTATAGCTTCGGAAAAAACTTCATAACAATTATAATAGGCAGAGAGGCATGAAAGGGAGGACCTCCAATAAATGGAGGGATTGCCTGTTACACAGACGGCTCAAAAACTGAAGAAGGTGTAGAAGCAGGAATCTATATAACTAAACCAAAGACAAAAGTCTCACTAAGCTTAGGTAAAAAAGTGACGATATTCCAGACAGAAACGGCAGCAATACGTGACTGCGCAGAAGAGTTACTAAGGCAAGAGTTTAAGGAAAATACCATTGCAATATACTCTCATAGCCAAGCAGCTATAAAAGCAATTAGCTCCATGCAGGTCAATTCTAAACAGATCTGGAACTGCCTAGAAAAGCTACAAGAACTAGGTAGTCGAAACAGACTGTCATTAGCCTGGGTGTATCAGGCCTCACAGGATACAAGGACAATAAAGAGGCTGATTCACTAGCACGAGAAGGAGCACGCTGCTCCTCCATTAGCCCCGAACCCTTTTGTGGTACAGCAACTGGAAGGAAAAACAATCTTAAAAATGGTGTAATAAGGCGCCGAATATGAGACAGGCTAAAGAGTTCATTAAAGAGCCATCGCCAAAATTCACGGAGTACCTACTAAGTCTGAATAGGCGATCAACTAGAGTTCTGGTCGGGATATTGACGGGACACTGTAGACTCAACAAGCACATGAACAACATCGGACTGGCAGACACAGCCCTATGCAGGCTTTGCCAAGAGGATGAGGAAACCTCCGTACACATACTATGCTATTGCGAAGGTCTGTCAAGGATAAGGTTTGCAACGTTAGGGGAGGAAAAATCACAACCCTCTCAATATATGGGGAACTTGAGGTCTGGCCTATGGAGTCTAGTTACAAGGACGGGCCTAGACAAGGAACTCTAGCATACATGAGGGAACACACAATAGACCTGCAAAGGTCGCAGTGTAATGGTTGTCCAGCACAGAAGCCCCATATTAATCTCATCTAATCTAAAAGGGTGGTTTGCAGAGGTTTACCTAGAAATAAAGAAGTTTTTGGTGCGATTCCCTCTCCACTATCCTTATATTCGACTAAATATTTCAAAGATGGTAAAATTTAATTATTCCGAAAATTCATCTGGAAATCCACCTCTCAGACGGCTAGTGAGTCATTCATATCGATGAAGGATATTCTTGGTAGTGTTATTTTTTCCAAGAATATGAAGTCGGCTGAATATTTGGGAGTCGGTGAAAGTGAATTTCTCCAAAGCTTTCTTCTCCATAAGTTCATGACCATTATTAAGTCATCCGTTCAATTGAATGACGAATAAACAACGAAACGACAACGGTCTTCATACCTGTCAAATGTCAAACAAGGACGAAACCTAGGACCACAATTTCACGGAACACCATATTTTCGTTAACATAGTTTTTATTAGGAGAATTTCTCCGCACCGTTCCAGGTAGGCTATAACAGCAATTTCTTTTCATCACATACATTTTTCCAGCTATTCGCATTCCATCTCTACCAAATTATCTGCGTGTTTTCACAGAAAACCGTTTCCACCATCAGCATGATGTTCCAACATCTTCCTACTTCAAAGTTTACTCAGCGTCTAGCGTAGAGACCATTAAAAAGACCATCTTAATGTAATTCATTACTCCTTAAGAGGGATATATGGAAGCAGCAGGAACGTTTTTGTGGCGGGTCTGTGCTACTTTATTCAAATTAAATGTACCCTTCGAGGAAATTGAAATTACCCGCTGTTCTCTTCCCGTTCAGAACTGAATTTCAAGCTAGAAATAATTATGTGTGGAAATCGATAAGGCGTTTCGGACCCGGTAGTGATCATCAGTCGCTTCTGACACTATTACAACAGGAGGCGTATCGAGCAAGAAGAGACCGCGGAACTTGATTTCCTGATAATTTTGATGATGTGCAAAAATGAATTCAAGCAGTCCCACGTAGGGAATCACTTTGAAGGTTGTCAATATACTATTGTGGTGAGGAATGTTATCGAAGGCCATTATTATTATGCAATGTAATTGGCCTATACTTGATGAAAATCTATAACGTATCGTTTCGTATGTCTGGATATTGTGAAATTCATGTTTGGGTTAATATCCAGATAATGATTGTCACCTTGTATCTAGAATGCGTTCGCATAAACTGACAAGATAATGCAAATCACAAACAGAGCGTACATTTCCCGATCAATCAATAGACGCAGACAGACAATGGGAGATTGTAATGAGCAGGCCAATAAATTTGCACATAATGGCCAAAACAGGCAGCACAATCGAAGTCTCGAAGCCCTGGCGAAGCCTACTCCGTTCAAAGAACGAGTTTTGTAAAGCCAGTGAAATAGATCATTTCATTCGATGCATAAGAACGATAAAAAAGTTGAGATGAACCTATCTTTATCCGGGCTAGGAAGCCGTGGAACTGACTTGGATAAAATCCTATATCCTATATGGTCGGCATTTGACAGTCAAATACAGCGATATTATGTCCAAGGAACATGATGTGACATTAGGGGTTCCTCAGGGATCAGTACTGGGACCTTTACTCTCAGAAAATGTTGACAATTGCAAATATCTTAATGACAGTCACTGGGTCAACATTTTTCTCCATACAAATCGAGTTTCTGCTGAAAAAAACTACGAATGTTTCGACAATGATTCTTTCATCTGATATTGGTCTATTGGTTATTGAAAAGACATTTTTCGAATCATTATTACGCGATTAGTTCTGTACAGATAATACTTGTGTTATCTACCAAATTATTTTGCATCTATTAAGTATTTGTCACGAGTTTTTTAAAAATTATTTTTCAAAATACTTTCAAGTCGCTTGCAATTCCACTTACATGATTTTGCAAACCATAAAGACATATTTTCAATTCTAGCTTCCACACACATTCAGTATGCCGTTAAATTTCATGTAGAAGTAATTCTACACCAGAATTTTGGAAAGAATCTAGATGTGACCAGTCGCAATTACATGATAATAATAACAATAGTAAAAAAATCACCTTGCTGTTAATTTTATTTGTTCTTCAAAGAATTTGTTTATTCGCAATGATTTTTATATCTAATGATAATATTATGGTAATGGATAGAGCAGATTGTTTTACTGGGACTTTTAATTGTTACTCCTTGTGGCTGGAGCGATAATAATAGATAATGGAAGAACAGCGACGACCAGGAAACTTATCATTTTTCGTCGTTAATTCAATCAGTTTTACAATATTTCAAATCGATTTTTAGGCTGGGAAACAGTGCTCATTATTATCCCTCTACAAATTATCAGAAAATTTGTAAATGACCGTACCAAGATTTCAATCGTCCTCTCCCCCACCCCGGTGAGTATTGAATTATACATTAATTCCGGCAAAGTATAGGGATTTTTCGTTTCCAACTCAGATCGAAAATACCTCTAATGCATTCGGAGTCCATTATGTAAAAAGTATTCAATATTTATTGAGGAGTTTGTTCGAACGGAGAAACCGTTGGCTTGAATAAAAGCATGGTACATTTAGTAGTCTGATATTGGTCGGATGCCAGAATGGTTTGATGCAGGGGCGTAACATAACGGGCAGTTGTAGAATACTGTTTTAGTGTTTATTTTGAATATTATCTATTTATTCCATTTTGAATTAATTCACAAGAGTTCACACAAGTTATGTTATGGAAAGTAATGTGTTGCAAATAAATTAAGGTAACTGACAAAAGGTAAACCTTGAGGGTGAGATGCACAACTGCAAGCCAGACACAAATATCTAAGTATATACACAAGCAACACATAATCACAAAAGGATGATAGTCACCAAAATGCGATTGATGCTAGAGAGAGTTCAAAACGAATAAAATATATTGCTTTTGAACTGACAGTGTCTACCAAGGATCATAATTTATCTTGAAGAAGGTATATTTCATAAAATACTATTGAAAAAGATGATAAACATATTTTGTTGACATATACAAAGTTATAATTGCAATATTTCTATAGGTACAGTGACAATCGAATCGTCTGAAGATAGAAACAGTTATGACATAAAATAATTGTAGCACTAATAAAACAACTATGCATACACATAATTATAAAACCAGGTTGGATTATGAAGTGTTATTTTTAGCAATTACTTTTCACAATCTTTATTTGAAAGTGTTCAGATTTGGAAATTGTTGAATTGTATCATCTAGCTTATTGAACATTTTAGGTCCAAGATAAAGAAAGCTTTCATAGTGAAAGTTGGACGAAGGGATAATGTAAAGACCATCAACAGTTGATACCTCAAGATTTTTGATACCAGCAATGATCCTCATTGCATTCGTTTCAAAATGAATATTCTTTCAGCCGTAGATCAGGCATCCCAGTTCAAAATTTCATATCGTTTGTGACAGTTTATGATCGTTTAACATAAGCTTAGTAAAATCAGTTCACTACAGAAATTAGCGATGAATCTCAAAGCATAAATTTTTTTTCTTATTCTACCACATCGTGTCCCAATTTGAGGAGTCCATGTGAGTATTGTAGTCAATGTGAGAATTGTAGTCAGATGTGAGTATTGTAGTTACATGTAGAAATGTGGTCCATGTGAGTATTGTAGTCACGTAGTCCACGTGAGTATTATAGTCAAATGTGAGTATTG